ATTGACAATGTCAATCATACCGACATTCTGAACATTTTTATCTCATTTTATACGAATTTCCAATTTACTGCTAAACCCGAGGGCAACGGACAGATAAATTTCCATGGCATCCTTAACCATTCCACACGCCCTGAAAAAACCCAGTACACCTTAAGCGCACGAAACCGTACATGCACCGCCAACCTTGGTTGGTCAGTGAGAAGGAACAAGACGCACCAGTGTAAGAGACCGAGTTTCCCTCTGAAAATGTTCTGCAAGGGTTAATAGAACCGAGCATCGTCACATTCAATGACTAGCTTATTGACTCTGTGAAAACCAGTAAATTATGGTATTCCGCTTTTACTGACTGAAGCGCAAGGCATGACTCTCATTCTAGACTCGATCCTACATGGCTGTTGGGGGATAACCAGAGCTATCCAGGTTCTCCACTTTGCTATTTGTCCTAACAGTGTCCCTAAAAAGCCAACCCACTTTCAGGAGCAAAACAGTTTGAAATGGGCTTCTTTTGTCTGACTTTTCTGTTCTCAAGAGGATTTCCGATTGCGGATAAACCCAGTAGTTTCTTCACTGCGAAAGAACGACCAATAAGGTATAGTGACATTGTTGTGTTGCTCGCCTGGCTCTCTTATTTCGTATTCTAGAAAGGGCCGTAATGTCGACGGTTATTGCTGGAATTCTTATTTCTAAGGCGATTTACCTGCACATCATTTAGCGTGCAGGACATTTTCGCAGGCAAAGTAATCGAAGCAGGCTCCACACTACGTCAGTATTTACTTTTCCACAACAAACAACGTATGTTTATTGTCACCTTCAACAGAGTCTTATCGAGCCCTTCTTTTTCCAATCAGTACACTGCCTTAAACACCTAATTAAAGTGAAGTTCGTGGTCGACCGGATCTGGCATCCGCTATGAATGGAGGGGATGCCCGAACACCACAACGCTGGACAGATGAGTGACTTCCATCCGCCAAGCCCGTTGTGTTGCCTGTTAGGCTGGTCCATCAGACAGTCATGCACTGAAGGATGTCAGTCTCAGTCCATCTTACGCTTTTCTCAGAACAATTGCTCACTCCAACCGACCCGTCAATTCTCATGCCTTTCACTTTTTCACCGTTAGACTGAGTGGTGGCACATTCTCCTCATCGCATCCCCTTGGGGTGTTTCCCGTGTTCAGGTTCAGTGCAAGTTAGTCAAACTGCAAATCGGCAGTTCAGAGTCGGACGGTTTAGCCTTCAACTACTAGTAAGGATGTCGCGGGTTTTTATTACGGTTGAGAGTTGTGAAATGCGCATTTTTAACGGTGGGACAAAGTTTCTTGGCTTTCGGCATTTTGTTTTTTATACTTTATTATATGCGCTCCGTAGTCTCCGGACAATTTCGCGTTTTGGCTTATTGGTAGTGAGTTTTATGCACACCGTCCCTGAAGACAAATACTTGCTTATGTCCAGCGTTCGGAGAGACTTTTGTTACCTGCCTTTCCTCAGCGGAGGACAGGCGCTGCTTCTGGAGACGTGAAATTGTTAATCGTCCTTACATTTCTCACAACACGACTATATCTCCATATCATAAGAGCGCGTTGTTTTTCGTCCCTGTGCTCGTCTTGGACATTTCTTACGAGACTGAACTTGAAGGGATCAAAATTGAAGCAACTTTGGTTTAGAATGTATAACACAGGTCTCGGCAAAAAAGATCACTCAGAGGAGCAGTCCAATCGGTTCTATTTGGGAAGTGGTGGTCTTTCTTCAGAAAAGTATCTTCCAGCCACCGTACGAGAAAATGATGGGCGTTCCATGGGTTCTAATTATGGGAAGTGCGGTAGATTAAAGACATTGAGCTATTTTATATCTATCTTCATGAATCCTTGCGTGCAACAAGATCTTATACAGAGCGCATTTATTATCCACGGAGATTGTGTCGGTGGTAGTCGTGAAGCCTCACTAGCGCCATCTGGAATTGCACTGGACACTCTGGTTTGGGTTCACGCAGTTGTCTCGATTCACCTGCGGACATTGTTCCCATTGACGTGTCCTCGATTTCTAAGGCTGTGTTAAGTCTGCACAATTAATTACGTCAAATGCTTGACAGATGGCATCATCAGCTCTATCCCAGATCAAAGTTTCACCTTAAACCGATTGTCAAAACCTGAAGCCGCTGATGTAATATTTCGTCTGTCAACCATCTGTGTTATTTCTGCAGCCATCACACTTATGGAAGGCCGACAATCAAAAACCAATTTGTTTTGGCCTGTGACGCGTAATTCACCAGTAATCTTCTTTTAACATAAGGGGCTATTTGTAATCAACTGTTCAAAGTAATCTACCTCGACAGTACAACTATGCCCTTTTGAAAAGTCAGATCATTAGAAGCGATCACATCTGTCCGATGGTTGACGTACTGTTCCTACGGTAAGACAGAGTGGTAAAGTTCCCTATCTACTGATTACCTGCAGAGATTCCCCATAGGTGACCTCTGTCAGTGCTTGACGTCTTTTTCGAAAGACCTAACTGGCGAAACTATCCATAAGGTGCCACCCATGGTCTCATCGGGAATATTGATAATTACAGGTCAACATCTTCAAGGATTCTATGAATATCTTGAAAATGACTTCACATCCTCAAATTTGTTCCATGATTTTTATTCGTTTGTCACAAAACTACAATTTTCTTGCTCTGCAAACAGCGCCATTAAAACGGCACCACATTTGAATGACTATTTGTCAGTGTTGCCAGCGGTTAACCTTCCCAAGAGGAGAATAGCCACTGAAAGACGTCATCTCTGGCGATCCTCCGTAGGTGGTCCTTAGAAAGAGAGCTTTGTTATATTTTATCTCCTTAGGGAAATTGAAGAGATTTATTAGAAGTTATTCTATGTACAATCTGTCTTATCTTTTGAACTGCCTTACAGTGTCGATTAAAGCAGTTTTTTCTTCAATTTCGCTACCAAAGCACTCCTCATGGGCCAGGTATATTTTTTGAAGAGCATTATATTCAGAGGACGGACTCTCAAGAAGTGGGTGGTCAACATTCTACCACCACGATGTAAGCCTCTGGAGACCGCGTGGAAAGTCACATCTAATACCTGAATACCGCTTGATGACTTGGCACTATCTGCATTAGTGTTATTTTCTGTAAATTAAGGACAACTTTAGAAAGATTTAATGATAGGATTGTCTCTCACCGGATAAAAGACTTACTGAAGGCACTTATACTGTGATCATCCAGAAGTTGGAACATAAGTGAGTGTCTCTGGCATGATTTCCGGTTGGTGTTTGTAAAATCTTCACTTCAAAATATTACTATAATGACACATTATCTTCAGTGCATCATTTTTATCTTCGAACTACCGGGTGTTTACGAAGATGCTTGCTTTTAAAGTTGATGAAGGAAGCTGCCTTTTAGTAGGATTGACACCTAAATATGATCGATTAGGTGTCCAACGTCGGTGGTTAACCCCTCCGCTAAACTGGATCGATGGGCCATATATCATGTTGTTTGGGCGTAAAGTGCGAGCACTTGAGCCTAAAGGTTGTTGCAAAAACCCGTCTCAGTTTATTCGATTATTGAACAGCCTGTTGAACAATTCGTTTTGTCGGATGGCTTTAGTGAGGGGAAAACGCATGCAACGCTATATCAAATAATTGAATGAAGGAACCGTACAGTTAAAGGACGGCAAAGCATTTGTTATGTAGGATCCGATAGTTAATTGCCTATAGAATACGACCACAAGACCCATGATGTGCAGCTTTGGAGGTGATTAATATTGAAATTGGTCTAGAAGTACCTACCAGACCTATTTTTGTGGACACCGTGGCTGCCGCCTAAAAGTGCGTATTACGCTACGTTGCAAGATACGGTTCTATAACGTTCATTGATTTAGCACCACATGCCACTGATGAAAATTCCCCCGAACTTCATATAATATTGGTTAATAGACAAGACGGCTCAGGGGACGGGATGGTTCAAAAGGAAGAGATGGCTCAGTGGTTAGAGCGTGACTGATCCGAAGATCGGTGGTTCGAACCCGACCTCTGCCTCTCGACTTTCCCTGTTTAGGCTTGGGCAACCTGGCAGTATCCCACCCCTCGTGCTTCGTTCGGTTGGCATGGCAGCTAGGCATCGAAAGCGTGTTACAGCTGAACGGTTAGCTTTACTATTATTTTAACAGTGTGTGCGAATTATTGAATACAACTGTTTCCTAGAAATATGCAGGTATGTATCACAATCAGGCACAACAGGAAGGCTTTCAAATACTCCATCCTTAGTCAGTCAACAAGGGCTCAAAATCCGCCACTGCACTCGAATACATATCGTAAATGGGTGAATATAGCTCACAGAAAGAGTTTCACCAAACTAAGTAAAAATTGACACCTCAATGGAATGAACAGACCGTCCCCGAACAGGTGGTGGTATCATCGCTCCAGCGCAGTTATTCGTGCATGTTTCACCCTTGCTTTCATTTACCTGCCATAGCTGAGACAATGATGTCCTACCTGTTCGGTGGCTTCTTCCGAGAGAACTTAGTCAGAAGCATGCTATCACATTTATTCAGCCAGTCGGTAGTTAGATTGTGAGACCGTATTAGCCGAATCTGGATAATTTGGAGGGCATATACAACCAACAGGTTGATCCCCAATCAAGTGCTGTATCATGCAAAATGCTTAGTGTAAAAGGAAAATGCAATAATAAATAGGTCTTGTGACGGAAATAAACCGTTTCTTCTCCCCAAAAAGGTTTTGTAACAGTGTGGACCGAAACTGCAATCGATCAATTTGGGCAACGAGAGACTTGCAGACTCAACAACCGTAACAAAATTCACAGTAGGTTTCTGGATTAGCTTTCATCTCACAACAGGTAGCAGCTTGGTGAAAAGTGTTTTCAAATAAACAGTGATTCTGATTACCTTTGAGTCCACCGCTCCAACGACTTCAGTTTACCGTAGAGGCCTTTTGCAAGCCTTTGAGTGACCCATCAGTAATTTCGTAGAACGATTCACGAATACACAAGCAGTTATATATTTTGTTGAATGAACAAACAAGACATGTCGACATGGAACATCAATCCCGATTTTTCTAAGGAACCAGGAGCAATTGGAATTCATGGATGGCGCCTGCTACCAAGTCCCAGTAAGAACCGTTTCCTGAAGCTCAACGGTCCTCCTCGTTCTGCATCGTATTCATCATAGTCTGGTTCATCAGTTCGTTTGCCCACTCTTCTCGCTCTATTCTTCATAACTGGCAATCCTAGGAAAAAGCGACGTTGTCTTGGGCGTGGCAGGGATAGTAAAAAACGCTTTTCCAAGTCTGCATCTTCGAGTTCAGCGGAATATGAGTTAGGACCCCATTCTTTCTCAACACCGAGAGGGTCAGTTTTGCACGTGAGAATTAGAAAGCAAACGGTCACGATGCACGAAAGATACAGGTTATACGTCATATTTGGATAGCTAGAGAAGGAAATAAAGCAATTGTAGAGTAGTACAAGGCATACTATAATAAAGGTGCTTACAATGTTACTCTCCGTAGTGGCTGATAGTGAAATAGAACCCAAATTACTGACCGTAACAAGTTTTGTTCCTTGCTTTGTGTGCTTCAGAAGGATACAAATTATACCTTGATTGCCGCGCTGTTAAAGTACAGGTCTAAAACACGTTGGATGTGCCGTGGAAAACTTTTTCCCACAATAGTGGGAGATTCTTACTTGAATCGATCTTTTGAATTTCAAAAACCTATTTGTTCACTTGCACTATAATACAGAATACACAAACACAAGCTCAATGAATGATGATTGAGACTGACTAGAAGAATGCGTAAACCTAACTTAATGGAAAGCTCCAGATGACAAGGGCTTTAGCTGATATTTGAAAAGCAACGAACGTTTTGGAGAAATAACTTTTTTGAAAGCATTTAAATTGCGGAAGAACAGAGGTAAACAGCGTGCAAGTATAAAATCGGAGAACAAGACGTGTCAGAGTAATAATGCAGAGATCATTCCATGACTGAATGGCAGTATAAATATGTAGACAAGGAACCATTGGTTTACTCTTTTGAAAAGTACACCACGTTTATGATAAAGCACAAAAAACTTGAACCTGAAGAACGGCTTTTCAGCATGTATAATGGCTGTCTTGAAATCAGTCATCCTAGCTGTCATCATATGTCTTACGGTCCGTATGATGTTTACGCCGTACTGCGTTCGTCTCCCAATTAAGACATTTATTCAAACACAAACAAGCGTGCGGGAATTGGTTATTAGCAGGAAAGCTCGAAAAAGGCTGAAATTGCGATAGTTAAACTAGTGTGAACTAACAAAACTGGATTTTCTTGTCGAAATAAAAGCCAGATATTGAATACATTTCCGAAACTGCTTTAAAACACGGACGACTTTTTACGCTTTGCAAATTTACAGATCAAAAAACGGTCGCCAACTTCCAAGTACGTTCATGAAAATTCCCTCTTTCTTGTCTAAGGCGGTGATGTGACCTGTAGATATAACACTCACTTGTTAACAGAGGATTCACTACTCAACTGTATTGAACAAGATACTCCTCGCATTACAGTCAAGGCGATTTAGAAGATAGCGAATTATTTTCATTGAAGTTAAACTACTTGAGGTTGATGGGATTTCGGAAACTGGCCCACCCAATAAACTCAAGAAGGACAATGAAGATAACTTCTGTCAAGAAGTCTTCGTCAAACTTGTGAATAAACATCAGACAGCCAGTGAACTGACTACAACTAGTAGTACTGTCTTTTTTAACTGGTATATGGACAATCATGTAGCATTCTTGCAGCCATGTGTCCACAAAATTTCTGCCTTCTCTAGATGCCAACGTTTTTTCAGAAATATAGGTCACTTATTCTAAAGGGTTCTTGTAAGCTTGTGGACTGGCTACCAAAGTCCTTGGTTACAGTTTGACTCTATTTCGACTGTAATTTATAGTTGCTTCTTGAGTAGACAAAAGGTTACACTTACCTTACCACCTGTTACGCAATCTGATGCCGATATATTACTCAAGAAGCTGTCACAATAATGTATACCCTGGGTTCGGTCCGAAGGTAACAGCTGAAGTTTTACTTGAAAAAAATTGTATTTGCGCCATCGACGAACAACTGTGCAAACTATGCACTGTGACAGTAAAAAAGTGTTGAAACTGGTACGTGATATTATGCATAAAGTAGTTCAAATTACAAGCGATATTAATAGTGCGACATAATTTTTTTCTGGAGGTACTTCTCCCCGATTTCACTCGGATAACACAAACATGTGCGGTGGGATTTGAAAAGTCTTTTAGGATGACCTTTAACCGTTTGGAAGGAAGCGGAAGCCTCTTAGATCCAGATTCCCCTATTAGTCCATAATTAAAATCTTCCGATCGCAAAAACCTGGATATCTGGCAATATTCTTCAGGAGGCACATTTACAATGATTTCCATTGAGATCGCTGCAGGTGTGAGGAAGTTACCTACCGCCTAGAATAAGTTCATGATAGTAGAACATCATTAGCTGTTTTAGCCTCTTTTGATCTGTTTAGCGGTATGACGCAATTTAACTTTGATCAGTGGTTTTCACATTGTATTTGACTTAATTATATTGTCAAAATATGGGTGAAATTACGTAAAAGGTCCAAACCATTCGAGTAGTTCAACGTACTTTTCCGGTGAGTTGGCACACCTTGTGTCACTTACGGCTTACTAAGATGCAAATCGGAACACATGGACATGTCTGTCCTGTGTGCACTTTGCTACACTAAACAACATATGGTTTTTGGATTTATTTTTCGTAAGGGTAGGGGGAATGGAAACCGTGCCACGTGTCTCATGGTACCACTGTGACTTCCGAACACTCCACCGCACTCGCCAAGAAGACAACGTTATGAGGACATGAGCGAAAACCCACGGTTGTTCGCCACGCTATAACACGTGCAGCCAGCGCCAATGACCCATACATCTGATAACCCACCGGCCACTCCCACTACCGGTGAGATGATGAGAGATGTTCGTTGAGCAATAGTGGCACTTTCTGAACGCTTAGTTTGCCGGCGTTTAGTTTGTGTAAAGTCACCCTCAAGTTGAGCGTGGTGCGATTTCATCAAACATACGCGTTTTTCTGGCCAAAGAAAAAGGCAAGAGCCTTTCGTTAAAGGAGAAAAACCCTTCGCTGTAAAATCATTTATCAGTGAACTCGAACTGAGCAGTTACGAGCGGTGAGACACAAAACTGAACATCCTCAAACGTCCTCTTGAACACTCCTGGACGTTCATCTAGTATTACGCAATAGAAAATGAATACTGCAAAGCGGTTCCGTAATTCTCCCAGTAACTTCTACTTTTCCTCAGACTACAGAATACTGGTGTGCTCTTTTTGTATCATACGCTGTTACACATGCAGTAAGGTGGCTCTGAGACACCAAGAGCTCTTTAACATTCCTGTTCATGTTGTAAATAGGGATGAAGGAGCAGAAGAGAGGCTGCGACAGCCCTTTTAACGGCGAGAGTAAAATCAGAAGTGTGTACCGTACTTACAAATAGTTTTGCTAATAAAAAATCCCTGAAGAATTCATAGAGATGATAAGGCATGGGCATAACAGGGGAGAGTTGAGCTGTTTTTGTTGTATTTTTCTGCCTTTGTGACTTCAACCAGAACAAACGCGTCCCTCTACTGCTTACAAGAATTTACAGTGTACAATTTTGTCCATATTTGCCATTTAAACAAGTGCAGTTGGTGAAATCTTGAGAATGGGGTCAAAAATGTTTCATTCGAAAATCAGCCTTTTACAGTCCTCTCTGCCATGAATCTCAGAACTTTCTGCAGCGTGGTCACATATATAATGCATTCTGCGTCATCGTGCCTGGGAATCTACAGATTAATTGTTGCAATTTGTTTGTGAAACTGGTTACGAGAGTTTGGTTTGAGTGGAATGCAAATACACAAGCAACGGTGATTACCTAATAGAAATAAGACCCAAATTCCCACTTAGATCGAGCTATTTAAAGTTTATTCTGCTAAAAAACTTGTTACTTTAGCGCGGGATGCATTCGTGTGTAACCTGTTGTCCGCTGTGTTTTGCGTAATCATCATGACATGTACCATTGTTTGGCTGTTTCCGACGGGTTAAGGGAGCCGGCAAATGTGTCCACAAATTCCGATCTGTGGAACAAATTGTCGGTGTGATTTCATCACGGTTTGGGTCAAACAGATATCACTGTAGATACTAACGGAATTGGTTAGTGGAAATTTGGACTCAGTGTAAATTTTAGCAAGATAGTGAGCTAAACAAAAACATTCGTCTTTCGCGGAGAAAGAAGACATATTTGGTGGTTGTTCACCTGTCGGATGAAGTTTACCGAAATACTGAGTGGAGAAACTGAAACAGTCATTGAGAATTCGCATTGACAAATGCGAGTGGACACGAAAGAATCTGTCGAGGAACGGCTCATACGAGAGATATTTTTGGGGGCTTAAGTGATACAAAAACTCAGAAATTACACGAATTTGTGTGTGAAACTTCAAGGCAAACGAAAATAACAGTGTTTTTAGCAGAGGATAGAATGGTTATAATTTTTCCATTGCTTTATTGCACTCCTCACAGTTGGAAATGCGACATGAACTTTAGTCAGTTCACCGTAGTTCAAACACCCATGGCTTGGAGATATTCGCACGCGGGTATATATATGTTTTACACTAGAAATTTCCTAGTTGCTTCGGTTTTGTACCCTATGGAACATAGGGTACATAGAACATAAGCTCCAATACTGACAAAATGAAAATCTTACCAATGATTCGTCTTACACTGCAAGAGAGACAGGAGACTCAATCAGACTCTCCTATGAGAGAATAACTAAACAATAAGCTTGTTAGACTACAGGAAAACTAACTTCATTACAGTTTAGAAAAATGAACCATTCAGACGGATCACTCATGATTCGTGCACACTCTATTTATGGTTGGTGCTGTCCCTTCAGGAGTAAATTTTTTTGAGTGAAATTTCTACAAGAACAGGTAGCCACCTTTGATGCTGATTATCTAACAGGGACGTCTTATGCAAGTGAGCGATCAACCGCAAACCGCCGTACAATAAATGGTTTTCGTCGAAAAAATTGCCGGGAACCTCTAAATTGGAGTATACTGGGGCAAAATTGTTAAACAGAGCAATAATGCAGAGACCGAGGATGAGTTTACTTTTACACTGACCACTGAATAAGGTATGCATCTCCATTGCGTCTCTTATAAGCGTCACATTCCGACCCCAATAGCCTTTCTGCGTCTGTCTTTTGTAAGACCGCTTCGGATTCTGCAATTTATCCCTTGCTCGTGAATAGTACCAATAAACCGGGTGCAGATGACCTGTTGACATAAGTATTTGAGGCTCAATATGGATAGGAATTCCCCAAAAATGCTTCACGTTTTCTTCTTCTCAGGTCTCTGTCGGCACAAAGGGCAGCCTT